GTCATAATAATTACTGTTGTGTGTGGTGTTAGTGTGTGTTGTGTTGGTACGTATATATATATAGTACGTAGTGTAGTCGTGGTAAATATAGTTTTGCAGAGATTGTAATCTGTGTGTGGGTGTAGCTGTGTTGTGGTCGCCGGCAGTGATGTGGATCTTTGGTGATACATGAGCCTCGGCGTTGCGTGTGCATACGTGCTAAAAATCGTCGGTGTAAAGAATTATATTAGGCATTCGCAAGTAATTCTCTATTTTACTGACTGGCATGTTTTTGCTATTAAATTATCATTAATTAGATTAGGGATACAGGTCATTTCGTATATCCGAAGTCATTTATTTAATAGAACGCTTTAGCAAACGTGGGCTCATCTGAGAACCAATGTAGATAAAAATAAAGGAAGAGATTACTTATATGTGGATATCGATTATTGTGTTCTCCCCAAGTATCTTGGATAGTATGTATTTAGAGAGAGATCGCCCAGATGATGGTGTCATGACTGACTCTAACAATAACACATGAAACCGAAAAGCGATTAAATCTTTAGATGATGTTATTTTACCATTTGGGTTGAATTAACTCAAGTTTGATTTTATGGAGCATTGTTCATAAGAATATTAGACGTTAAAAAATTAACAAGTAAAGTTTATGATGTGCATGGCCTGCTACAATACGACAAGTATTTTGTGCATATCATGTCGCCCGAGTCTGCAATCAGGTTCGTCGGCTCTGACGCATGTCGTTTGCGTGTGGTGCGTCGCTCATTTTGGTTTGTTGGGAGACATCGATGAAATTCGATATATATATATACAATATACGGTTACGTAACGTTCACCGCGTCTCTCGACTTCAAAATTAGAAACGAGAAAATTTAACACCGATAGGATATCACTTACCGCTGTCTCAACGCTCAACGCTCCGCCTTCAGCTTACAGACAATATATCGATAAACCCTTAATTGTAGAAGATATAGCGCAAATGATGTATATCGCCCGCAAAACTTTAACTAAGTTGGAGAGGACCTTGTACACAACTTGCAGCCGAGAATAATTGCGTTATTTGCTGCTAGAATGAAGTTGCCTTTGGGATAGCAGACGCGCGGGCACCTGAACGGTTGGTCGAGGGCAGGATTGCGCGAATATATGCGCGTATATATAGCGTGCACATGTGCTTGGATATGTAGTGCGTGCGGGTGTGTATACGTATGTGTGCGCGCGACCGCGCGCGTGTGTGCGCCTGCCTGTTCGTGCGCCTGTGCGCGCGAATTCACAACTGAAGACTTTACCAATGTGCACGGAAAGCCGGGATACGAACAGGCGCATGCGCAGATTTAGCAAATGTATAATCACGTTGCTCAAGTAAGAGCGAGTGTGACTTCGTCCTTTATGATTGCTAAGTTTTACACGCACAATGCCACCTCGCCAATTAAAATCATAGACTCTGTACGCATTCGTTCACTTATTAGTGTGGTTCTAAGACGAAATTACAGGGAAAAGTTGTGAACATCTTAGGGAGATGTAATTTTCGCCACAGTCTCCACTTTGTGAAGTCCGCCTCCTCTCTTGCTCCCGGCACGGACCTATACTTAGTTAGTCCTCCCCTTCGCATGCGCCTTCGACCTAATGATGGCAGAAGGCTCGCCGACATGGGACGAAGCGTTACGCCTTAATACAGTTTACCCACTGACTTGTAAAACAGGCGTGCCCGTCTGAAGAAAAACTCAGCTTAGAGGCAATAGGAGAAAGCGGCGCGACGTGTGTGAAAGGATTTTTGCATAGTGTGGCGGCAAATAATCGAAATTATCGAAACCAAATCGAACAACCTTAACCGCACGAGACCGCGCGAGTATATGCAGCGAAGGATATAGAGACGGAGAGTGAGAGGGGTGTAGTAACTGTGTGTGTAGTGCGCGTGTGAGTGCGTGACCGTAAGCGCAAATGTGTGTGTGCGCATGCGAGTGTGTGCGTGTGCGCGTGCGTGTGTGTGTGTGTGTGTGTGTGTGTGTGTGTGTGTGTGTGTGTGTGTGTGTGTGTGTGTGTGTGTGTGTGTGTGTGAGCGTGCGTTCTGCAGTGTGTGCGTGTGCGTGTCGCGGTGCGTCGCGTGCATGTGCCGTGTGCTAAGTCAGTGCGTGCGTGTTTGTGTGTGCGCGCGCGGGTGTGTGCGTGTGCGTGTGCCTTTGGCGTGTGCGTGTGCGTGTGTGTGCAGTGTGTGTGTGTTGTGTGTGTGTGTGTACGTAGCGTGTGTGTGTGTATGTGTGTGTGTGTGTTGTGGATGTGTGTGTGTGTGTGTACGTGCGCGCGCGCGCGCGTGTGTGTGTGTGTGTGTGTGTGTGTGATTGTGCTGTGTGTTTGTGTGTGTGTGGTGTGTGTGTGTGTGTGTGTGTGTGTGCGTGCGTGTGTGTGTGTGTGTGTAGTGTGCTGTGTTGTGTGTGTGTGGTTCCGGGGGACGCCGCCGCGCGGTGTGTAGTGCTGCCCAATGCAGGTGGTGTATAAGTTCATGAATTCATCTTCCCGTGCACATCGATCCATGTTTAATGGTCGGCAAATAATTATCTGCTGTTTGTGGGTGGGGTGTGCATGAGTTCGATGGGGAGTGGCTGGTGCCTTTCTGCTATGCGCGGGTGCGTTGTAGGCCGTGTTTGTGAATTTAAACATCCACACCGATGACAACTTCCACAAGCGCGGAGGTCCGTGGCATAATTAGACATCACTTCAGAAATAGAAAGCCAGACCTTGCATGTAAGGTCCGCGCCCCATCATATACCAATGTGAGTACATAACCTGGCCTACGTTCTGTTCTAGCGCATGTGCATTTATCTCACCAGAAGATTTTATTTTGTGATGAAACGCATTTAGTATAGTCAGGGGATATCTCAAACATAGTTTCTGTAAATAAATTCTTATAAGTAGACCTGTGTTTATAGTTAGGAGAGCGCCCTAGCCTCTAGGGTGCACTTTATTTTGCCCGCCCTTCACTTTGTCTCCATTGTCGCACACTCAGCCTCCTTCTCTTTCTCCCGCCTCTCGGCTGTCTTCCCTGCCACCTTCCCTCAGTTTCCCACCCCTCTCTCCCTCAGCAAGCTAAATTAGACTTTTCCGCTTGACCGTATCTGCACGTGCTGAAACGGTGCTCGCGCATGCGCTATATCTCCCGAGAAGAAGATTATTTTTCAAACATCATAAATTTAAGATGAAGAGTGGTTATGCTATAGCATAGATCTATATGAAAAGATTTCATCAGTAGACCTCACTTCAGAAATATTACGCCAGACCTCGCATGTAAGGTCCCGCTGCAGTATACCACTTAAGCAGTGTGTGTTGCGGGTGGGTGTGCGATGGAGCGTTCAAAAAAGATGAATTCACCGTGTAGCGAAGGCATACTAGCGCAAATCAATGATTTAATAATTTGCGACCTTTAATAGGTGAATCTATTATTAATGTTTTAATCATATATTTATTGTACAATGTTTCTGGTCACCGCAAAACCAGGGCCATAATTGCGTGCGTGAGTGCGTGTGTCGATTTTTTCAAACAACATTTTCAGTAAGGGTTTGTGTTGCTATCACTGGCGTAGCTAAGGGGGGGGACAAGGGGGGCCATGCCCCCCTGATTGATTTGGCAAACAAAACAAAAACAAAATTTTCCTTGCCTTTCACGCGTCTTGCACCAGGATGGCCACAATTCCTGTTACTTCTGCATCTGCTGAACGAACATTTCTCTAAAATGGAGCATTGTTTCAAGTCTAACTTCGTGC